CGTGACGCTGGTCGGTATTACAATTTATAAAGAGCTAAGCTCAAATTTCACATCATGTGGCCCATAATTCACCCGAGTCCCTGGTGGGCTTGTATCTTTATACATTTAGTTAAGAACATAGATGGTGGCCTTCAGCCATTTAATGCTACCAGGTTTATGCTAACTCGGTACGGCCCCCCTTGTGAATGTAGAGGTGGCAATTGGGGTACCATACCAACCGGTCAATATTCCCAATATGTAGATTGTGGAGACAAGACTGCATATCTTGCTATTCATGTTACACATACCCAGCAACTCAAACAGAGCTGGAAGTGTGTGTCTAAGCCCAAGCCTATCGTGCCACCAGCTAATGGTGAGTGCCCCAATGATTGTATCTTCACTCAAGCTATGCACTCATCCTGTTATACCTCCTTTACTGAATGTAATAGAAATAACACCCTGTATTTTTACTCCACGGCCATTTCTTATAAAACGGCCTCTGGGGGCTTGGATTGGACCCTTAATACTCAGGTAATAGGATCAGAAAAATATAATTCTAAAGCTCTTAGTGAGAAGTGACTAGGCAGAGTTAATGCTGGAAAGTCCAGGGAATAATAGATTTCTAGAAGAAAAATGTAGATAGATAAATATAGATAGAAGAAGGTTTTCTTTTATTCATTACAATTCATGGATAAATTGGTAAGATCAAGACCACCTTGGTGTCTTTTGATAAACAATCAATAAGAGAGCATTAAAGAGCAAATATAGAAGGTATTTTAAAATTGGTAGGATAAGAGAAAAATATGGTTTCATGGATTTCTAACATGAGATAGCCTTTTTGGGACTTATAGAGTTAAAGTAACTTAGAAGCCCTATGGCCCACTACAAACAAGCAAGGAATGTTATCAGATCATTAAAAAAGTAACAACCTGGCACCACTGGTGTTGGAAGTGCTTAATGGGGTGCTTAATGAATCAAGGCAATCCTGACTTGGGACTATAAAGCCAAGCAGAATCTTAAGTGTGTGAAAAAACACAGTAAAACAGGAATTTACTGTCTAGTGTCAGATTAATAAAATAGAGAGATATGTTGGCAAAATAATGTTTTACTTTCACCTCTGCAACTGTGAATCTTAGCATGAATGTTCTGCGGTTTTTTGTAATCTTTTCTGTATATATTTCAAACCTTGCAACTTCAAAAATTACACTCAGACTTTCATAAAGCTCCTTTTGCGTCTGTTTGTCACTCGCCGACTCCTTGTCCACCCTCTCGACGACCCTGTTCCCATCGGACTGAACTGCCCCGGTCTGGGCTGGTCCGTTGCAGGTGGCGCCCGAACAGGGACCCGGAGGGTAAGGTATCTCTCCCCTTTTTTCTCTTTTTAATAATTTCAGGCAAGGATAGGACCTCGTCAGGGCGCTGCAGGCCCACTGGTAAAGGATCACCAGGTTAAGAAGACGAGAAGGTAACTGGTAATAATCATGGGGCATTCTCAGTCAAAGAATAAGGGCCTTTTCTTATCAGTTTGAGTATTAGTATACCAAAAACAGTGTTGGAAGAGATTTCTAAATTGACAGTAGCAGCCTGGAGAAAGCTTCCAGGAGCAGGAGGTATAACCACTGTTCTTTCTAAAATTAGACAAAAACAAAAAGAACCATATGAGAATTTTGTAGCAAGATTGGAGGAAGCATTGCAAAGGATGATGCCTTCATCTGAGGGATCAGAAATTTTATTAAAACAATTGACTTGGGAAAATGCTAACTTTCTATGTAAAGAATTAATAAGGACAATTAAGAAAACAGGCTCTTTACAGAATTATATAAAAGCCAACATAGATGCCTCACCAGCAGTGGTCCAAGGAATGGCCTATGCTGCAGCAATGAAAGGACAACATTTCAGCGCATATGTTCAGAATCTTAAAAGCAGGCCTCAGACCAATTACGAGGGGGTCTGTTTCTCATGTGGAAAGCCAGGTCACATGAGTAAAGAATGTTTCAGTAAAAATAAAAAGCAATAATGGAGAGAGAAAACCTGGTAATAAGCGAGAACCTCCTGGGATCTGTCCTAGGTGCAAGAAAG